TTCTAAAACAGTTGGAATTTTCGGATTCCGATGTTCCAGTGAGGAGTTATCATGCCCGCCATCGAAAATATCGACTTTTCTTTGAACCCAAAAAACAACAACAAAACAACAACAACAAATTTTGGTAAATTATTTTTCTTCCTTTTTTAAATCTTCAAATACATATGTGCCAAGTTACAAACCTTAACAAGCATTGGTATTCATTTACCAGCCCATTTAAAATCTTAAAAATAAAAAATCGAGAATGGGGGGTCCCTTAAATTATACATGTTTTTTTTAGTAATTTTTGGGGCAAATTGTGGCATATTATGTTAAACTTTTCAGCAGGAGAGTAGATCCCCAACTCCTTTACAATGTTATGCTGACCACAACATGTTTTTAAATTACATTTGTTTTTTACCTCTGTTTTTTTTATTTATTTTTAATAACTAATTATTTGTATTTTTTTCTTATTGCAGATCTTATTCAATCATCGGGACAGTACCGAGTTAATTCCTGGCAGCGGAAAAAATATTGCAGGGGGCCAAATCACATCACTTAGAGAAGAATGTCTGATGACGAAGTATTGTAACGTCGCAGTTTTGTATGCGAAAATTTAAATTAAATCCTTCTCTGCTGCGATCGTAGGTTATTTACATTGAAAACAATAAGTTTTTTAATTATAAATTTGTAATTTTATCTATATAGTATATCTGCAAACATGTCAAAAAAGTGTATAATTTTTTACCTATAATTTTTTTTGCTTGAACTGTAAATATGTTATGTATTTGTTAAACTATTTTCAAATAAAATATAAATTTTAAAATATTAAAAATAAACAACTGTTTTTATTTTCAAGAAGTTTTGATATAAGGAAAATATTAATAAATTGGCTCCAAATTGAGTACTAGATGTAAACGTTAACATCTTTAGACTCCGTTTGCACATTTTCTCATTTGCGCCTAAGAGTATGCTTTACATTTTCTCTTCACATAACAACTAGAAGAAATTAATGTGGTTGGCAACACTACATATATGAAATTTGCCATTTTTTCCACTTGTGGTTTGTGTGGTTTTCATTTTTGTGTAACAGGCAAACAGAACGCAGACGTAGGCATATTTAGGATGATGGTCAACTTTAAATAGGAATATCTCGGTATATATGCAACCAATTTAGATGATTTTTTCGGTGGTGTATAGAGGAAAATTTGAAGTTTATATTTAAAGTGATAGCAAATAAGAATGCTTGTGTTTTACAAGTGAAATTCACAAATATGTGTAGACTTCAGGAAAATGTAATAATTATTGCAAATTTGGTTTAATATTGTTTTTGATCGCATATGTAGGATTAGTAGACATCCTATTTCTTATTGTAAGTAAACATTATTGATTTAAATGTAAGTTATTATAGAAAACGTTGTAGTGTGTGAGTAACTGAAAGCAAGCCTGCAATGAAAAGTGCGATATTTTAAGAGGGAAAAATCATAAGAAAACATTAAAAATCTACAGATATTAAATGAATTGGAATAAATTTTAAATTTCATGCAAAAATATCAATAACAAGTAAAAAAAGTGCCAGTCGGTGTTTCCGACGGAAACATATATCTTATATAAAGCGAACAATAAAAGTTATGTTTTATTCCGTAGACCTCCGCAAACCATAGACTGAGGTAATACTATGGTTTGCGGAGGTCTACGAAATAAAACATAACTTTTATTGTTCGCTTTATATAAGATATATGTTTTCTCAAGGAGGTGACCATCTTTGGGAAGGTTTGCGCCTAATTGAACCCATCTTAGAATTTAATGTAGGTTTGGAAAAATATTTCGATTTGCAAAATTTGAATCAAATTTGACAATCAATTATATTGATATTGGATTAACAAATTGTTGATTATTTGTGAGGAAGTTATCGGAAGTAGTGGACCAATGGGTCCCATATTCATGTATGGTAAATATTTACAATTTAAACAATTTCAAAATGTTGACACTTTTTGGGGGAGTTACTAAAAGGAGGGGACCGATAAGTCACATTTTCTAACATTATACAAGCATGTTTAAAATATTTGGTTGTGGAAATGTTTGTACAAATCGAATAGTCCATTCGCATGTCATTATAAAATTAAATTTCAGCAAAATTTTGACCGTTTTGTGTAGGAGGGACCAGAAGGAGTGAATTCCATGTTCCAACATGAACTAAGTTTGAAAGAAATTTTACGATATTTGGCGATGTGCATAGTCGGACATTCCACATTATTTTACTGGAAAAAAATCAATATGTTGACCCATTGTGGGGAAGGTACAAGAAGGAGAGGACCAATGAGCCCCATCTTTAGATCGATCTGGACTAGGTTGAAATATGGCGATAAGTAAAGGTTCGATTAAAATACTATTTTCTATTCGTTGTATATAAGATTTACAAAATGTCAATATTTTGACTCTTTGCGGGGGAAGGAGTGACCGGTAAGTCCCATCTTCCAACAATAAAATACTACGTTGTGAACAGGGTTGGTTTAAACTGGATGCTCTGTTCGCATGATATTATAAAATGCATTTTTGACACAATTTTGGCCAGAAGGATTAGATTGATTTTCCTCGCCTTTGAAATTAATTTTAGTTTGAGAAAAAATTACGATTTGCATATCCACACCCTTTTTAATGGAATAACTAATTTTAAAAATGTTGATCCTTTGTGGGGGAGTTACAAGACCGTGTGGTCCGATTAAAATATTCGCATGATATATAAAACGCATTTTCAGCACAATTTTGACCATAATATAGGTGGATTGATTTTCTTCATCTCTCAACTTTATTTGAATTTGATAGAAATGTTACGGAGTGCAGAGATTGGATCAAATCGCTCATTCCATTCCCCAATATTGGATATATAAATAATGAACATTTGGAGGAGATACCAGAAGGAGTGGGTCAATGGCTTCACTCTTTGTACTCGAACTGGACTTGGAAAAGATAATAGATTTTGCAAAGAAGATTGGTTCAAATCGGAGAGTCCGTATCGCATGATTTTATAACATTTATTTTCACAAAATGTTGACTATTTTCTGAGGGAGGGAACAGAATGAGTGGACCCATGTACCCCAATCCTCGAACTTGAACTAAGATTGGAAGAAATATTACGATGAGCTAAGTTTGTGTGAAATCGGTTACGCTCTTCGAGAGTTAGCATGCGCATCAGCCGGTCAGACAGACAGATGGACTTTTGTAAATTGACTCCAAATTGTGTGAAACGGATTTGGTCCAAAGAAACATGGGGTCTTACTTCAATATTTCAATGAGAAACATTTGTAACGTATCAAAGTGTTTATACCACATTAGCCATAACACTGGGAGTCTTATGAAATATTTAATAAACATTGCATGTATATTATTTAAATGATCGGTTTGTTCATAATCTAAAAAATATATTTTCAATCGAGTTTGAAAAATAATGTGATGTTTTGATGATAATCCTTAATTTTTTATATCATGTGAGGGTCATAACTCTACGAATCATAAAATAGCTTATTTTCGAACAAAAATATCATTCCACTACATTATAAGACCATAATTCATATTTTGTCCTTTTTGCCTAAAATACCACTTTATTCCATGTTCGACAGATATAGCAGAATATGAATGACATACCAGTGTTCAGTAATACTATATAAAAAATCAGTTAAATTGCTGCACATACGTTGAGTTTACATTTTTCGTGAATTTCTCCTACAAATCACCCGTATTACTATAATTTTTCTATTTGTAGAAAAACTTTATATCTTCCTCTAAACAGTGGTGAAAAAATCATCAAAATAGCTTAAGCATTTCCAGAGATATTTCAATTTGAAATTAAGCTTGTGCCGAAATATAGCTGCTGTTCGGTTCTGTTCGCCTATTATGTGAAAATGAAAAATCAATGTATTCGGCACTTGGCAAAAATGCTTCTGTTTGCAGCGACATGCTGCCTTGCCATATCGTTTCTAATGAGGTTATAATGAAATTAAGAAAATTAAAGCATTCTTTTAGGCGCTTGATTAAAGTACATGAAAAGGGCTTTAATAGTGGATTTGTTCTAATTGAAGAGGTTGTTCTAAGGGTATTTTTCGAAACAATGAAATTCTATACCTTTCCGTTGAAACCCTCGATAATACGTAAATAATGGATCGAATGAAATATTCTATAGATATTTCATGGGTATTATTTACATAGCTGTCGGTTGATAACATCAAAACATATTTTCAATTTTATTTTTATTTTTTCAATCCCCAAATAAAACACAACAATATTTTTTTTTTGTTTTAATTAAATATATAATAATATAAATATTGTTTATTACAAAAATATAATATATGTATATAAGTATATTTATGTATGTTTTGATTGTATGCTTTATAATCATAATTCGATCCGATATAATATTTCATAAATTTGTTCGCAAACACCAATTAATAAAATAAAAAAATAATAAGTATATAAGAATTAATAATAATTAATGAAAAAATAATATAGTAATAATAGAAATTAACATAAATATTTCATATAAATGTACACAAGTATTTAAAAATAATAATAATTATAATAATTTTTGCAGACAATTGAAAATAAAGAACAATTATAATGGGCAATTTTTCTGCAACAAAATAATAATATAAGAAATGTATTTTTAAAAAATTCACAAAGTTTTTTTGTTTTTTTAATTTACAATTTAACAATAATCAAAAACGAAACGAGGAAAATTATAACAAATATTAATTTAATTAAAAAAGGAAAATAAGAAAACTACAGAGAGCAATTGTTGTTCGTTATACAAAGGATGAAAATTTGGCACACGCTTACACTTCCAGGGCAAGCTGAATGAAAAGTGACAGTAACTGTTTTTAGGGCTTTTTTTCACAAAGCAAACTATTCGAGTAACATATTAAATATAAAGTTTTTTGTTTGTTATTTTTATAATTTTTATAAATATTTCCTAAATTAAAAACTAATGTGGATTTAAAATCCTTAAATTTTGATAGATTTAATTAAATCGTTATTATTGTTGCAGCTGCTGTTGTTGTTCCTGATAATTGGCAATAATTTTTGCTGCATCATTCATAATTTTCGCTGTGGATCGAACCAAAAACATCAGATGACATTCATCGTAAACTGTCAATTCGACACGTGTACGCACAAGACCATGCAATACAGTGGCCCTTTCCAAATCCAGCCAACGTTGCAATGCTGTCTCTCGTTCTTTTGTTGAACCCGTCAAAACAACATCCGATGGACCCCATAAGATGTATTCGAGTACAGATTTTGATTTCGATAGAGATTCCGAACGATCTTGTTTCAAGATATCCGCAACAATGGGTGTCATCTTTGTGGCCGGCAACATTTCGGTGAGAGCTACATGGGCACATTTACACAGCGTACCCATGGGTTCATCTTCATCTTGTTGGGTACTGAAAGGAGAAAATCAAAATTAATATTGTTTGGCAATTTTAATGAATATGGACTATATAATTAGTAAAGTTTTCTATGTTTACAAGGCTATTAGGTGGATTTCTATAGATCTTAGGAAAACCTTCTTAACATGAAAGGCCTTTTGGAAACTTTTTATAAAAAAAAAAACAGTTTTTCTCCGATTGGCGATATATTTTTTTAATACACAGAAGGTCATATATATTTTCCCTTCCTTTTCAACGGAATTTTGGAAAATGTTCTCGAAATGGAAGGCCTTTTCCAATAAAAGATGGATATTGGGTAGGTATTTTATATGTGGAAGGACACACTTTCTAGACAAACTACAAATGGAAGAAGGAGCGCTCTTTAAAAAAAAAAAGGAAAAGAGGTCCATAAATGGAAAACAAGTGTACAAGTGTAGCATATTTGGAAGATTGTCCGGATGTATTTACTTTTAAGACCCTAATGGGGATTCCTGCCGCCCTACTTATCTTCTTTGCCATTAGCCATTTTTCTTTTAACAAAGAAACAGCATTTCTCACTTACGCTGGTTTTCTTGCTAGGTGTCATAACGTACCTAGCTAGGTGTCATAACGTACATCACCAAAACGAAGCATAATAAAAATGTGGAATTCCGTGTTTACCTCTAATTTTGATAAATATTTCGGGCATGTTCTGGCATTCACTTCAACGGCAGAAGTGTATCGAACACACGCCGAGGTGTTCTGTAACACACTTTACACCCATTTGATGTGTATTCTTTACACTTACATTTTCATAGTGAGAGTCGGTTGTATTCATGTTTTTCTATATGAAAGAAAATCTTTTTTGAAATAAAAAAATCACATGATGATATATTGATATGTTATTATTGCGTATAATTTGTTTATAATCACAAAAAGGGCATGAAACACCATTAAAAACAAATTTTAAATAGATACTAAGGTTTGTCTTGAATTTTCTTCAACTGAATTTCTTGCTTGACACAAACAGCTGATTTGAAGTAAGGCCGAAGAAGATAGGGTTACCAAATGTTCCCCTTAAATCAATCAACAAATTAATGATATTACAGATGTTTCATACATATATTTTATGTTGCGAATAATAAAATATTAAAAAATAATAATAAAATTGTCGTTAGAATTAACGTAATTACTAAAAAATTACAGAAACAATGTTAAAAACGAATACAGTTTATATTGTATGGCAACACTATTTCTGCAAAGTTCCATGTCGACGTTTATTTTTGTCGCAGT